TATGTTCTTAATGAAGAGTTTTTTGAAGGTGATGACAACAAGGTTCATTTTTTTAGTGGACTGAGCAATTTTAAATTGCTATCATTGATACTGAACCTTTGTCGTAAACAGATTGATCATCCAAATTCCAGAAAATTAACTCCTTTTCAAGAGATGATAGTATGTTTGATGAGACTTCGCTTAAATTTAAGTCTGGAAGATTTGGCTTACAGATTTAATATTTCAAAAGCAACAATATGCCGAATCTTTGACAAGTGGCTGCACATTTTATACATCAGGTTAAGCAGATTGATTGTTTGGCCTGAGAGAGATGTGCTGCAAAAAACTATGCCCAAAGAATTTAAAAAAACTATTGGCAATAAGATTGCAGTAATAATAGACTGTTTTGAGCTTTTTATTGAACGGCCTTCGTCATTAGATGCTCGCTATTTGACATGGTCCCAGTATAAGCACCATAACACAGTAAAGTTTTTAATAGGTGTTACTCCTCAAGGATCTGTGTCTTTTATATCAGAACCTTGGGGAGGAAGGGTTAGTGACAAACACCTAACCGAACATTCTGGATTGCTTAAATATTTACTGCCTGGAGATTTAGTGCTAGCAGACAGAGGTTTTAACATTACAGATAGTATTGGAATTACTGGAGCACAGCTAGCAGTTCCTGCATTTACCAGAGGTAAACAACAACTCTCTGCATTGGAAGTAGCAGAAAGCAGAAAGATGTCTCATTTGAGAATCCATGTGGAGCGAGTAATCGGTCGCATTAAAAATAATTTTAAAATTCTAGAGTCAACATTGCCAATTGAGCATGTGACACTAAAGGGACATGACAGTGTCACATCAATAGAAAAGATTGTACATGTTAGTTGTGCTTTAATAAATTTATGTAATAGTGTTGTGCCATTTGAATAAAATCAAGTTTACACTGTGTAATGTTTTAATAAATCTTTATTTACAATTTCAGTCTATTGTTTTGAATACCAACGTGCTGTCAGTTCTGGTAATATACATAATTTGAAAAAATTTCTTGCTTTTTCAATGATGCTATTCCACAATGTAAAGTCTCTATAAATCCGCTCAATGTGCAAACTTTTTTCTGTCCAAACTACAAAGTCACAATATTCAACATTACATACAAATATTTGTGTTTGCATTTGGTAGTAGTAATTGCTGCGTTTGTTAATTGTATAAATACCATTCTCATTAACTAAATAATTGGGCGTATTTTCATCAATATTTTGTTGTCGCTGACACCAAGGACATTTCACTTCAACCACTCCTTGGCCACAACAGTTGCAGTCTACAAGACCATCAGGTGAGGCACCAATGAATGGATGAGATGGTAACACATGAAACCCTGTTTCTTTAATAACGAAATTACGATGAAGTTTAGCTTGTTTTTCTTCATATTTTGATCGTGCATGGTTTTCGTGATCACATCCCCATTTTACTGAGGGACTTTTGAATCTATGTTCAAATGGGTAGCAAATTTTTTTAATCAGTGACTTTGCTGGATTAATTAAATTTGTGTGGCATGCTGCTTTCATATTAGATGCAGTTATGCGTCCAGCTCGATACTGATACCAAACTTTCTGTTTGTATTGCTTTGTTGTCAAGTCACTTATGTTTTTTATCTGGTCTTCTGTAAGTTGCAACTCTTGAAACAGTTTGCAACAGTATTCTTCCAGCTCAGGCCAGTCCAGGTTAGCAAGAGATGGATTAAAAAGATTTCCAAACATCAAAGGAAAAGGTATATCCTCACTTGCAACAAAGCAATCAGAAAATCTAGGTGTAACAGCCAAAATGCAAGCTTGTGGATTACATTTTGTTACATCTGACAAAAATGAATCCAGCTCACTGTCAGTCATAGGTGTTACCTTCATGTTTTTCTTTTTGATTGCACTTTGGTTAGCATTTACATCAGTCATGCGGTTATACTTTGCAACTGATGAACTGAAATCTATTTCCTTTAATGGACGAGGAGCAAGAACTCTTGAATGTGGAGGCAACCACTCATTTACTCTGTCAGTGGATGTTTTTGACTCTCGGATTCTAACACCCACTTCTAAGGCAAACAGTACAGCACCAACATGTGAACATGCTGAAGAGCAACCTGCCATACAATTGCAGTGAGCTGTTATGACTTCTCCAGAATATTTGCCAAGAATCCACACTTTTAAAGGTGGAATTCTTAAGCTTTGAGAATGACTAACCTGAAAAAATACACATTATGTTAAAAAACATTCTCAAGAATTTAAGAAAATTGTGTGAAGTTTTACTAATGTGCTAGCATTAGAACATTTATATTAACATTAATAATATTTACATTAATAAACACTAAGTTATATTTTAAAACAAAAGAGTTTACTGATTTGCTTATATTAATTTAGTTAGGTATAATGCATTTATAAATGTACTACTAATGTAATTTCAGGCTTTAGCTACTGCAAACTTATAAACATTACCATATAATAAGCCTACTTGCTTTTAGTTTTAACGTGTAATTTCAACTAGAAAATACAGGTACTGAACAATTTGAATGAAAAAAATTGCTACAGCTGTTTTTAATAAGACTTTACTTTCAGACAAAAATTCTTAGTTAAGAAATACATAAAAACACGAGTTTAAACAAACAAAAGAAAACATATCTTTCCAAGCAATATTACTTGAAATCCAAATTATTTTAAGACTATGCAAAACAAGTAAATAAAGAAAAATAAGAGTACATTTTGCTATTGTGAAAAAGTTAAAAATTTGAAATGTAAATTTACTAAATTTAAATACAAGTATAAATGTGTCATCCAGTGCCGTAACTAGGCAGGTGCAACAGGTGCACCTGCACAGAGCCCGCTTGGAAGGGGAGCCCAAAATGCATGTATTTGTTTTATTATTTTCCTGAACCTAATTAATTAAAAGGCCTAATTGCAAATTCTTGCACAGGGCACAGGAATGGCTAGTTACAGCACTGGTGTCACCACAATGGTCTATTATTGAAGATGGCACAGAAACAAGGAAACAAAGTCGTGGAAATAATGTGTTGTAAAACAACAGTTGCAAGTTCTTTTAATAGTATTGTGTTATTTTTTGTAATTTTGGTTTTTTTTGAGATGTTTGTTTGTGGGCTTGACAAGGATCAAAAAATCAAAATGCACATATGAGAAAAATAACAAACAGTAATGGTTTTAAAGTCTTTTTATACCAATTTATTGTTTTTAATATTTCACCTCACCTCAGACGAAGAGTCGGGAAAGTAAGAGAGATCATTTACAATTTCATCAAAAAGTTTTATCAAATTTCACGTGTTTTTAACATAATTTATTAATATGTACATATTTAATTAAGCAGGTGAAAAGCAATAATGAATCCCAGCGTTATCATCTCAATATAAATGCCAAAAATTAAAATGGAGACAAATACATCAACACAAACACTAGATTATCCTGAAGATCACACCTTGGCAATATCTCAACAGTGGTTGTTAACGAAAGCGCACACACATAAGCACAAACCACTTAAAACATAACGTAATTACAACTAATCAAACTAACATACAAATTTATTTCAAGAAACACTCACTAAATATGCAGATTTAGACCCTACAAGAGACCAAATACCCAAAATACATAAACAAGCACTATACATAAAACCAATACCAGGCAAGAAATTAAAGAAATCTACAAAAGCAAAAATAAACAAAAAAATACACCTCCTATATCTGACAAAGAAATTTAACGAATTAGAAAAGTTTTTGACATTTATTCTATGGATCCTCTTCGGCTTTAAATTAGAATAACTTAAGAAATTGAACGATTTAACAGAATCAAACGTAACTAATATTTAAATATCGACTTCCCGAAACAACCCAATGTATCGATACTTAGCCAAACGATTGCCGTAGTTAATCGGGCATTGAGTTTGTAAGTAAAATCACTTTAATCTGTGTCGGTTGATTTTCTCACATAAACTCCAAGTTATTAATTAAGACTTTATTGTAGTATATTCTTAAATAGATTATACATCATATGCATTTCAGGCTGTTGTATTAAAGACAATTATTAGACTTGACACTATTATGATCACAAAAAATCTTTTACATTATGATTCTTTATACTGTATTTGCTTACATGTCTTTAAGAGAGACAAACAATTTTTAAAACTCCGGTACACGTTCAACGTTTCCGTATAAATACAGTTAAAAAACTTTAAATATTAAATCCAGTCTTAAATTACTGTAGTTTTAATTTTTTTACACACAACTTGTAAAGATAAAGGTTAACTGGTTACCATTTTATCTGAAACTTGACAATATTCGTTTTTAGTCATATCAAACTCGATTTTCTAATACAGTACAATTAAACCTCAATTTAGAGCCTCCAACTGTTCTCTACAGAGGCTGGTGCTTAATTGGAGGACCTCAAACAACGAGAGTTATATGTATTACACACAAATTTGTCCTTGACTCTGCAAAATTAATGTCATTAGGTCGCAATTTGAAAAAATTGTACGGCCTATAAATTTGCACCGTCCGTCCTCCTTTAATTTCGAGAAACGGAGACAGGTAGACGAGATATTGAAACGTTACGGTAGTAGGCCCCGATTAACTGTATAGGAACTTCCAGTCTACTCCAGAAGTCACGCGAGTTGTTCAAAAATTTTTCCCCGCCAGGAATTAGACGAATGGCATGACTACGAGAAAAAAACTATGATGTGCAGGGGCAAGACACCACTAGAACTGAGAGCATTGTGATGATGTCACAATAAATAATAAATTGCTCGTATTGTAATTAAAATTGCAACGAGATTGATTTAATCACGTATACTTTACGTCAACATATTTATTAGTTATAAATTAATTTATATAATTAACTGGTTATATTTATTAGTTGAGCATGTAAACATTGTTATGACATTTGTTCTTACACGTTCAAAAAACGAAAGCATCAACTTTCGCCTCTTTGACGCTTAATAACAAAAAAGTATTTTGACATTTCTGGGTGCTGTTTTGCGGAATATAAAGCCTGACAGTTGCTTCATACTTTTGCAGAGTTTGGTGAATTTCAGCCAAACTATGCAAAGTTATCAGAGTTCAAAGAAAAAACAAACCAAATTTATGTCCCTCACCCCCACTAGATGGTGCCATGTTACCTAGCTCTTGCATTGCCTATGCTGTAACTTCATGCCTGGCTTCTCTACCCGAGACAATATTAACTTTCGGAAACAAGTTAATGTTTAACTCTGCAAAACAAACGTCCACAACTGCAGAATTTGAATATCTGGAAGAAACTGTAAAACATATTAGTAAAAGATGTCTTCTGTGCTCCTAGCAAAATTGTCCCCTTATACCTTCTCTTCATCATATCTGTGCTTGAAGATCTCGAGGAAAAAGGAAAAAAATTATTAAGTCCTGAATTTATGGGTGAAAATTGCAAAACATAGAACTGGATTTTACTGTCTCTCTTTCAATTTCATTTGTTTTAATAAATCCCTTTATTATACATAC